ACCCCGCATCGCCAGGCCTCCTGAGGTCTGTCACTGGGACACCTTCTTCCCCCACCCCCCACCCCGTTCCCGGCACTCTCCCCGGCTCCCCTTGTGGCTGAGCTGAGCGAGGGGCGTGTGAGGACTCACGCACAAGACCCTAGGCCTCCCAGCCAGCCGAGGTCTTCGAGCCCTCGCTCGACCGGCCCTGCGGTCCCCAGAAGTTGGCCACCGAGAGTCAGCCCTTGCCACCAGAAACCAGTCGTGCACCTTTTGTTTTGATTCTGAACTTGTGGTTTAACTTGGAGGAGGAAGCCCGCTGTCCTGGGGAGAATCAGTGAGATGGGAGTCTAGGTGGGCCGGGCTTGGCCCTAGGGCGCCCTTTATTAACCCTTTTTGTGGAGAGTAGTGGGCCGCAGCGAGCTGCGCTTCGCCACAAAGCCAGAGGTTTCAGCCTCAGCCATAGTGTGGATGGTGTTGGTCCAGTGTCTGTCCGGACCCATCCCTAGTCAGCGTTGGTGGAGATCACCGTGGTGGATCTGCTGCGGGGGTTTCTGGAGGTAGCCCATTTGAGGTGTTGGCGAATATTTTGGCTTTGGTGACACGCTTTATCTTCGTCTGGGTATATTGTAGCTCATATCCTAACTTAGGTTTAACCGAGAAAAAAGACGACCGTGTACCCCATCTAAAATGGTTGTTGTAAGTCTGATACAGTTGTCAAAAAGTCCATGTGCCACGAGTGTCCCTGTGAAAGGCTGGAATTCCTACATTGACTTTTATTTAAAAAAGAAAAATAACGAAACTCCCAAGATTGGAAAGCAGGTGGGCGCTTTAAAATATAGTATACATTTAATTTGTTTTTCTGTCCAGTATCTTAAACTGTAGAAGTTAAACTAAATCCCTTGTCTTTTTGAAGTATGTAGAATGTGTGTATAGAAACTGTCACAAAGCCTGAAGGAAAAGAACCTTAATGGAAATGTTAGTGACATCAAATTTCTCCAGGAGTTGGGGGTCTATCCTCCACCTTCATTTGCAGATTAGAAGATTGAGGCTGAAATTGTGAGTGGGTGATAGTTTTACAGTGTCGTGTAACAGAGATGCTTATAGGTGGGCTTTTAACTCAACAATCCCTTGTCCTCCACCAACAGAGTTGGTTGGTGTTTTTTTGAATTCACACACCCACTCGCTGGCTAGTAGAGAAAGATTATAAAGCTGCTTCTGGTTTGTGGGTGGTAACCTTTTAATTTCTAGAGAATTTTCAGCTGCTTACAGACTACATAGCTGATGAGCCCCATAGGAAAATTCTCAATATTAAAAATTCATTAGCACGTGAGCTAGATCTCTTGTTATTATGGTGTCAGTGCTGTGTCCTTTGTATAGGAAATGAGATTTCTTAGAGTATTTGCATCTTAGATAAACAGAAGCACAAACAGCTGTCAGTGCTATGTCAGTTTGCAGTAGTAGAGTCTTTCATGAGCATAAAAACCCTGGAGTTCCAGCATCCTGCTCTAGTTGCTGAACACCAGTACTTTTAGCTGTTTGGTTCATCTCTGCTAGAGATTTTGATAGGAGAAAGCTTAAACTCTGTGCCATTATGGACCATTCACTCATTTATTCACCAGATATTTACTGAGCCCTTACTGTGGCCCAGAATTCTTTCTAGGTTGTAGTAAGAAACAAAGCACACAAGGCTTCTGCTGCAGTAAGCTGTATTGTGTGTGGTGTGTGGAGCTGAGGAATAGACAACAAATAAACAGACAGGACCATTTCAGGTAATACAAGACAAGCAGTAAGCTTTGCTTTGTTGTTGTTTTTGTGAAGAAATAACTGCTTCAGGCTCTGAAGCATGCAGCCTCTGTTGTAGCCAGGCAGCTGTTACTTCAGTATGTGCCGCAACAGACAGTAAATAAACTTGAATGTCTATTTTCCAGTTAAACTTGGACACTGAAATTTTCATTTCATTTCATTCATTTTTCACATGTCATGCAGTGTCATTCTTCCCTCCCTCAACTACTTAAATACGGAAAAACTAATCTTAGTTCACAAGCCATAAGTACTGAGGCAAACTGTAACTGGATCTGTATAGAAAAAGTTTGCTGATTCCTAATAGGGTCTGTGATTAAAAAAAAATAATAATAAAGCTGATGTGACAAATGAGTAACGAGGGCCTAGGTGAAAGTGCTCAGAGAAGCCTTGCTAGGGAGAAGGTACTTGAATTGTGGCCTAGAAGATGGAATAGTTTTCCTGACAAACAGAAGTGTGAAGATCTGCAGATAGAAATCGCCATGTTCCTTGCATCAAGCTTCCCTATCTTGCCTTTGTGTCTTTTTTTTTTTTTAAATTAATTTATTTCTGCTTTCTGTGAACACCATGGTTCTTTCTTATGAGGCTTAGCAGCAAGTGCCTTTATCCACTGGGCCTTTGTGTCCTTTTTCATCCTGTTGCCTTCAACGAGTTTATTGCTGTCCCCCATCAGATTTTAAAAATCTCTTTGTTATAGAATACTTTTTATTTATTTAGTTAGTTAGTTAGTTATTTTGTAGACAGGGTCTCTCTTTGTAGCCCTAGCTGTTCTGGAACTCACTATGTAGATCAGGCTGGCATTGAACTCAGATCCACCTGTTTCTGCCTGTGTACCACCATGCCCAACTATTATTAAAGTCTTAGGAGCTGAAAGAAAAATTCTCAGTTACTTTCTTAGATTTTCTAGCCTGTATGTGAACATCTTTAATGACAGGAAATTCATAACTTCTATGTGGTCTATGCTCTTTGTAGATGTAATTGTTAGAAGAATTACATCATTGGGCTAGAGAGAAGGTTCAGGGAGTGAGCCTGCAGTGGCTGCACCTCATTCCATACATAGGACAGAACATTGGTGTGTTGGCAGAAATCACTCACATGAAGTGCAAACTGTACTAGGCAGCCCTCTAAACTCAAAAAATATGGTGTGCATATTTTTTGTATTATAATCATTTAGGGTGCTTATGCACATTAAAGACCATGAGACTGAGCTCCATTGGAGGAAGGAACAGGGGAAAGGAATTTATATGTAGATATGTAGGCTTCCAAACCCTTTGCTTTTAAAAATAGTTACCTAATCTCTAGTAGAGTGTGGGAGATGAAGAATTCTGATGGGCTGGCATCCTTCATTCAGACTTTAATTCTATTGTTAAATTAAGTCTCTATCACACTAATAAATGTTTGTAGCTGTACCATGAATGTTAAGGTGACGTGTAGGTAAGGGCATGGGACAAAAAGTAGCCAGCATATGTTCCCTGTCCTGTGAAAAGTTGTTGAGAAGAACTTGGCCACCTGCTTCCTGTCTTTCCCTATTGGCATTTCCTGTTGTGGCCCTAGAGAACAGCTGTCACTTTCTTTGTCCTTGAGTATTGGTCACATCTTACCAGAAATCAGCTGGTATGTTAAATGGGGTGTATGCTGATTATTTTTGTCACATGGCTCTTAGAGTGTTTGAGCATTACTATTGTGTTCACTCTCAACTTTATACCTTTCAGAGATGCTTTTTGTTTGTTTTTGTCAAAGGGAGAAGTTTTTATATTTCTTTTTTTAACATTATTTATTTATTTGTGGTGTCTGGGCTTGTGTGTCTGTTTCACAGCACTTGTGGAGGTAAAAGGACAACTTGCAGGAGTCATTTCCACCATGTTGGTTCCAGGGCTTGAACCCAAGTCATCAGTATTGGTGGCAAGCACCCCACTCCCTGAACCATCTCCTTGCCCCGTTTTTTACACTTTTTGTTGCCTTTTCCTCATTCCTTTACCATTTGGATTGTTGTTATAAATGCTTGTCATTCCTTTGTCCTGAAGTACATATTATGATGCAAACTCAATTTTTGCTCTCCTTTCTGAAGCCTTTTCTTACAATACAGACCTTTCTATTCCTACCATTTTTCAGCCTTTTGGCTGAGATCAAGTATAGATCAAGTTTCTCACACTTTCATTTCTACCCTTCAAGCTTTCTTGTATTCTGTGCTGTTTCACTACTTCACAATAAGACAAGCTTCGTGAAGGCAACGATCATATTATAGGCATTTTTTTTTTTTTTTTTTTTTTTTTTTTTTTTTTTGGTTCTGGGGATCACATTCAGAGACTTGTATATGCCAGGCGAACATTCTACTACCACGTAATATTTACAGCCTTTAGCATTTATGTCTATGTGTGTGTCTCAGATCCACTGAGTAAAATTACAGGCATATATTCCATCACAAAATGTTGTTTTTAAAAAAAATCTAACCTAAACTTATTTTTAGGATACTGTTAGGTTTCTAGAAATACTATGAAGCTAGAACTGAGAATTCTTGTCTCTCTTGTACTGTCTTCCCTTTTATCAACATCTTACATTAATGTGGTACTTTTATTACAAGTAATGAACCAATATCAGTACATTATTACTAGATGCACACTTTCCAGCCCTTTTCCTAATGCCCCCTTTCATTCCCTGGATTCTACTTCAGAAACCTCATTACACTCAACAGTCCCATCTCCCCCTGTCCTTTTGCTCTGGGCAATTTCCCAGGCATTCCTTATACTTTTGAAGATTTCTGTTCAGGGTTTGGTTGTTCTTTTGTTTGTTT